TCATTATTATCGATTACAAGATAATGCTATTAGGGCCCGCGCAGCACGCAGTAGCGCGGTGGCGAGGCTGTGAGACCGCGGCGGGGCGCTGCGAGCGGCAGCACTCTTCGTGCCTCATCTTCATCGACGCTTTTCAGAGCAATTTGGCGCCCGCCCTTCTTCTCTGGTTCTTGCCATCTGCTGATGGGGAAATAGGGTCATCGTCCCCCGCAGGCGTGGCGTGGGCTTGTCGCGCTCAGCCTCTGGGCCTTCTTGGTGCCGCCACACCCGCCAGCGGCGTCGTGCCCGACCCGCAAGCTGTAACGAAGCACAGTCCAGGACAATATATAGACTGTCAGACTGACAGCGAGCCTTCAGTCGCGTTTGCAAAACTCCGTACCCCGAATTGAAGCCGTCCGCCAGCTCGGGGAATAGGGTCAAGTCCAAAATTGAACTAAAATTGTTCGGCCCTACAGCAACTATCCTTCAATGGTGACAATAACTGCTTAACTGCGCCCTTCCGCATGCACCTTTGCAGGAGTGTTAAAATATACTTTCAGTATAATCCTTCTGCCAAATTATAAATTCCAAATTTTGAATGGAATTCGGAATTGAAAGGTAACTTGCTACTCTAACATTCATACGGAATTCAATCAAAGTGCTGCGGCACACCGAAACGAAATTCCAAAATTTGATCTTATAAAATTGTTGTTTAAACTTTCTCGAATGTCCCAAGCAAATTTCAAGACAGAAAATTAATTAAGCCGAATTTCAAGCAGCCTGTATACATCACACTCCTTCCTTGACCAGCACTCCAGCCCCATATTATATATTACAGATTTGTTCGTGATCGTTTTTTGCCGTGTAGGCTCGCCCGTCCGGGACTCACAAGAATGTTCTCCTTCCCCGTCGGTCCCCGTTGGGCCGCGGAGGCCGCGCCGCGAGACACCCACGCGTGGCGTGGCGGCGGCGGCGCTGTGCGGCGAGGACAGCCAATTTGGGCAGGAGTGACTTTCGTGTGTGAGTTCCGAGAGCGAGGCAGGCGGAGACGAGGGGAGTGGGGAGTAGTGGAGTCCCGCCTATATCGGCTTGAAACCAGGAAGTTGTTGAACCCACCGCCGCCGTTGCCTCCACGCCAACGATCATGGTCTTGTCCTGGACAGCGTCAGACTTGTGCATATCGTCGTGGTGGTGTGGTCGCGCACCGGAGGAGTCAGGTGTCCGCCATAGTGTCTCTCGGACATGAAGAGGAGCTGCTCTGCTGGCCTCCACCGCCCCCACCGCCCCCTCGTCTGCCGCTCGGCGGAGTCATTCGCGTGGAAAGGAGCGCGGTGTCGGGCCGCGCCAGCCGCGCGCCGGCTCGCTCGGGCCGCAGCCGACCTGCCTGCCAGCTCGGTCTGCGCCGCTTAGAGCTCCGCGTAGCGGGTGAGAGGAGGAACGGCCCTTCCCCGCGACGCCGCCGCTCCGCCCGGGCGTGCAGGTCGCCGCCGTATAGTACCGTCGTCGTCGTGGAGGGACGGCGCGGAGCAGAGCGCTCTCTGTGGGCCGCCGCCGGCGACGGCCGCCCCGCCCCGCCCGAGCTGGCAGCCGGCCCCGCGGTGGAGGTGGAGGGGAGCGGTGGAGTCAGTCTGACAGTAAGCAGCTGGCTGGGACCCCGCTCGCCTCGTCGTTGCGCCGAGTACCTTGCCTCTCTCTCGCGGTGTGTCCGGGACCGTCGTCGCGTACCCCTTTGCAAGTAGAAGTGCACGCCGGCGAGCACCGCGTCCGCGAGTGCAGTGTCCGAGTGGAGTGCGTGAGTGTCTGTGTGCGCCGGGGCCGTCGCGCGGTCCCCTGCCAGGAGTATAGTGCACGCTGGTGCCCGGAATAAGTGCAGTGTGTTCAAGTGGAGTGCAGTGTCCGAGGAGGCCATGCGCTGATCAGTGATGCTGCCGCGAGGCGGCCGTGGACCAGCAGGGCGGCGGCCCGCTGCTCCCCCTCGTCGACCTCGTCATCCTCCTGGTCCCTATCGCGACGCCCGCCCCCCCGGCTCGGCGGGGCAGGGCGGCCGGCGGACGCGGCGGGGGTCCCCCTGAATCATGTGCGAGGAATAATGAGCCTGGATGTGGAGAGTCTGGTGAGTGTCACGAATCTGTCGAGCAGAGTTGGAGCCGATAGGGGAACAGTTACTTCACTGAAAAATTTCAAGCTTTCACCAGTTTTTCTATGCTTTTTGATTTTCTTTGATTTTTCTTGTCTTTTTATTTTCCCTGAGTTGTTCTGGGTTTTTCTAATGTTACAATCGATTTTTTCTTTTTTTTTTTTGTTTCAGTTTTTTTGTTAATTTTTTTTTTTTAGTGTTTCCACTGAATTTTTTGAGTGAAGTACCTCTAGGCTCTGGCTGCGCATGCATGCTGCCATGTAACACAGTAACCGGCATCTGAAACCTTAACCTGGATGATGAATCCAATACACATAGGCCTAAGAACAATCTTAATGCGTCGTGCTACAATAATGTATAATTTATTCCTGTTGTTTTCGATCAGAGACCTGCAGTATTGCGGGTTTGCCTACGCCATGCGCCCGTATGGTGCCTGCAGCTCAGGCAAACCCGCAACACTGCGTCGTGTCTTCTCTGAAACGCCCGGTACATTAGCGGCTAAGCTGGACTTTGACTTTGTTGGAGGATAACTGATATGAGGCAAAAGTGTAAATGAATGAAACTCACGTGCTCTGCGTTTTCTATGTAAAAGTTTTGTTACATTCCCCATGACTACTGTGCCCCATAATAATGATAACAATTATACCGTTTTGATAATAAACAACTTGTGATGAAATATATTTTGTTGTCGGCGTGTCGAAACCTTTTACTGCGACGACGTGTATCGTCCCCGCAGCCCGGCCCAGAGGCCCGGCCCAGCTCAGTGAATGTTGCTCGCCGCCGCCCGTCCTTGTGCACGGTGGGGCTTGTGCAACGACCCGAGCGCGACGTGCCGGGCTGCGCCTTGCGTCGGTCTGCCGGAGCCGAGCCCGGAGCCGAGCCGGGGAGCCGAGCCGGAGCCGAACCCGAGCCGAGCCGGGGCTTGTCCAACGCGGGACGGTGGGACCTGTTGCTCTTAGGCCCCTTTCACCCCTTCCC